GGGCAGGCATGAGAGAAGAATTCAATTCACAAGAAACTCTGTCTCTAGAGGGTTCAGGTTCCCTTAGACTGTGGGCTACAAACCCAAAGAGGAGGAATTACATCTAGCGTCAATTCTACATTTCAGATTCTCCTAGACTGGACGAGATTCTTCTTGTAGCGCTACCAGTCCCATGGGAGCACGAAACCGGCTTTATATGAGCTACTGTCAACATTAGCCTTATTAAGGGACCCTGAACAGTGGACAGTGGGATCTCTCTTGTAGTTTAGTATAGTCCCTAGTATAGTCCCGACCCATGTCCATTAAATCATGTAGGAAATATTCCCTAAACCCTAAACCCGTCGAATTATTTGGGAAACGTTGACTGTAGCTCTAGTATGCAAGAAAAGTTGTTTTCTTCATGCTCAGCCACCACTGGGATGGCTTTGTCTTGCTGTGCCTCTCATGCTGCTGCGGTTTACGGCTTAGGGTTTAGGGTAAATGGGTTTGAGATCACTGTAGCATTCTCTGTACATCCATGCCGAAAAGGATCGAATCCAGAGTTATTTCTCTTTGTGGCAAGACCTGTCCCATGGGAGCACAAATCCAATAGAAATGGGATCGGCTTCAAATGTAAAACCATTCCAAAAAAACTTGAATGCAAAGGTCACTGTTTTTGTGGCATTACCGGTCCTGCAGAATCACGCCGAAAAGATAAGAATTAGATCCAGCGATAATTCTTTTTGTAGCGCTGCCAGTCCTGTAAAACCAAACTCAAAAGAATGAGATTCGAAGTGAGAGCTTCTTGTGGCAAGACCTGCCCCATGGGTGCGCACATCCAATGGAAACGGGCTTTTGCACAGAGAATTGGCACAAGGTAGGCTGGGAATGGAATATAGTCCCCCTTAAGTAGATAGAATATGGGGTATATGGGGATCTTATTGTATTACTCAAAGCCATATTCTATCTACTTAAGGGGACTGTAATTCCGATTTGGAGCAATCATCGTTGCCCCGCGCTCTAAAGCTTCAAGTTCCCGAACTCGGTCCCTTATCCGTGGTCGTTCGATCAGAAATCCTAGATCCAAAGCCTAAATCGTAATCCCTGTGCCCTAATCCCGAAAAGCTCGAGGCTGATGTCAAAGATGAGCTGGAGCCAGTTGATGCGATTCGGTAAGACGAATGCCAGCTGTGATCATGCGTTGCTTGATGAAATACAGAAACTGGGCTACAAGCAAGGAATTTTGACTAGACCCAGAACCCTAGAACCTCACCCGCGACTTGGAATCTCTGATGGCGAAGCCCAGGAGACAGGTGGCCAGCCTTGAACATGGCGTACCTACGCAGGAGCGCGAGCAATACAGTTCTTTCTGGCTCTGAAGCCCCGCAGCGAAGGTCTTGAAGTTTTTGTATCTCAGCAAGCTGCGAGAAGTAGTCGTGCTCAGCGGAGCGCCAGTTGAGGTGTGCGTGTTGCACTGTCATCCTTACTTCTGGCACATTTCCGCTGTTTACAGATTCAAAAGTTGTTATTGTCCGCAAAGAAGTTTTTGTACGTTTCACAATAGACGAGCCCAGCTTGTCGTCATGAACTCACAAGTTGAGCATGAAGCCATTCATGTTTCTGTATCATCCAGCACAGAAGATGTAAAAGAGGCTTCTGGTATGAGTTCGTTCTCTGGCAGTTGCGACAGCACATGCTACAGGAATGGAGTTGATTTGGGTGTCCTCTTCCTGGGTTGCTGTTAAGGAACTTAATTCAACTTACTTTATTGAAGGAACCCTCTTAATTACTGTATATATATATATACCCATTATGGTATTATGGTAACTTAATTCAAGTTCCTTAACAGCAAACCAGCTTCGAGCAGTGGGCTCTTCAATGCACAACATGGGTAAAATCTGAAGCCTCAATCCTCTGCCCTCAGCTGTAAACCTTGAATGGCAAATTCTGAGCTGCAAGTCCTCGAAGACCTACGCCAAGCCCAGACGGGAAAGCATAAAGCACTTGCATCGTGGCGCCATCGTCCACCCCTAGACTGTTTCGAAATTCTGCAAGCCCCCTGCAGGTTGTTTTTGCGAGCCCCTGCTGCTTGTATATGGGAGAGCGTTGATGCCCTAAGCCCCGAGCGCAAAGCTGACAAACTGATGCCTGTGAGGCTTCGGAGAGTTTCCTCTAAAAGGGTGCCTACAGAGCCTACCGATTTTATCTGCCGGAAGGCCTGCGATCCAATGATCTTACATGTGGACAATCCAGAATCCAGCATCTAGAGTCTAGAGCCTCAGAAGATGTAATCTCGATTTTCTCTCGCTAACCTTCATGAATCCTTCCCCTGCAAACCAGTGTCAGAGAGCCGAATACACCTTAACGAAGGAATCGGTTCTCTAAACCCTAAACCCTAAACCCTATGAGCTAGGGTATCTTAATGTTTTGAGGAGTCTGAGGCTCACTGGGACACCCACGCCACCCTGAAGTTCAGTCCCAGTTCCCCCATTTCCGAAAGGATAAGGTGGCTTGAGCCCTAAATCCTGAGTGTTTGGGGTTTAGGGTATAGGGTTTTGGATTTAGGGTTTAGGGTTTGGGGTTTAGGGTTTAGGGGCTCCACGCCGCTGGATGTGGTTACCATGCATATAGGGTACGGCTACATCTCCCACCAGACGGAAATAGATTTCAACGAGCAGACAGACTCGAAAAGCTCCACAGGAGTTTCTTCAATAGTCCCCATGTACTTGTGCTACCCTACATAACACCTGAAATTCTCATAAGCTATAAACCCCGAAGGCCCGAAAGACCCTAAACCCTAAACGGCCCCAAACGGCCCTCATCCCTGCAACTGAATGGACGCTAGTGAGGCTGGTGTTGCTGGCGCCCAGGTCTGCAACACGTTGGATCTTGAGGGGCTTGGAAAACCCTAGTGTTCGGGGTTTGGCTTCAGGGTTTGCGGCTGAGCGTTTGGAGCTCAAGGTTTGAGGCTTAGAGGGTCAGGGCTGAAGCTAGGGTTCTCGGATTGACGTGCAAGTTGGAAGTACTTGCAAGCTGGATTGTAAAGCTATTTGCCTCTGGCCAGTTTATCTTGCAGGTGACAGGTGAGGGGTAAAGTTGGATGAGGTGCAAGGTCTGGGGCTGACGCCCTCAACCTTAATTAACATCGTTTATACCCCTGTATAATCCCTGTAGAACCCTAATATACCTCCAACCCAATATTCCCTGATATACGTCTTCTGCTGAGGTGAAGGGGCTGCGGGAGGGACGTCTGATAGGGATCCCTAAGGGTCCAACGACCCAAATAATAGGGTTTTAGGCCTCAAATACTGTAATATTAATGGTATTTGGGCCTTGAAAACCCTTTTATGGGTCCTTGGACCCTTAGGGTTCTAGGCTGTGGTGGATAGAAAAACTGGGACTGCGTATTGTAGGACGGAAATTGTTTGGGAATCGGATAGTTGCATTTGCCCAGAGGTGCCCCTGAACTCTAACTCTCAGGCTTGATGACCCATCATGGGCCAGAGGATTCTTCAAGACGACGCCATTTAGGAACAGAAACCCTTTATTAAGTAAAATTAAGAGCCCTGCGTGTCAGCATATCTTCCCAAACCCTAAACCCTAAACCCTAAACCCTAATTCATTTACAACACGACACAAAGGCCTCCCTTTGAGCTCAATTCATACAGTGGGTTCTCAGGTACGTGACGTTGGCGCTCAATTCTCCCTAAGCCCCCAGCCCAGGGCCTGTCAAGCGCGGGATGTTGTCCTAGTCTAGGGTTTAGGGTGTGTTTTGTTTTTTGAAACAAAATTTGGCCATAGATACGACAGAGGCCCGAAGGACTGCAAGTTTGATTCCCTTGTTAAAGTGAATCAGTGCATGGCCTTCGGGTCCTAAGTATGGGTACTGCATGGGCTTGTTCATCGACAAGAAGAAGAAGTATGCAAGGAAGACTGACATTCCTGACGGAAGCACGACAGAATGTACTCAATACCTGTCTAACCATAGAAAACAAAACCCTGGTAGTGTTTGCCCCAATGGCAAGGTTACAACTCAGTTCCTCATCATTGGGGAATCCTCATGTCGAGAAATCTCCCCTCCGCAAACCATGAGCCCCAAAGCACCTGGAAGACTCCATCATTGGCAGATATGAGTTCCAGCTGCCGCCGTACTTCCTGAACAATGCCCGCGCGCTCGGGTGTCTGGAAGGCACCACGAAACAGTTGTGCGTGCAAAGACGGAAGAGCTCCGAAAGGTGCACAGCCATACCCCCGATCCCGGATTCCCGCATAGAAGGACTCCCAAGAGTGACTTGAAAAAGATGTCCCTTGCATTTTGTAGGATCCTACAGGAGTCAGCGTTCCAGAACTTATTGGCGTCATATGGCCTCTTAGAGTGGGCAAATTGACCTGCATAGAGGATGGTTGGAGGGTCTAGGTTCATGGTTTTCCTAGCACGCAATCTCTGTGGCACAAGCAGGATTAATTTGGCCTTGTGAAGCATCACGCGCTTCCCCCCCAACAGTCGCCCCACGCTTCCAAAATGATCCTATATGACCAGCGTGGCATATCATCTAAGATTGGGGGATTGGTATGTATCGCGAAATTCTGACAAGGGCCCTGAGTACTGTCTAGTATAGAGGCAATCCCTTTTTTTAACGAGCCGGTGGAACTTGGAAAGTCATCCGTTCTACCAAGATGAATAGTTCATTCCTTTTGCACTACGTAATTTGTCCTAATTATTTCCTTGAGTGGGTTTCTTCTATATGCAACCCTGGAAAAACCGTGTTCAACACAAAAAGCCAAAACCTGGGCATCAAAGAACGCTGTCACCCTGGATGCCCTTCCTTTTTTGGGTCTTGTCCCATATTTGTAGGTTATACCCTAAATCCTAAACCCTAGACCCTAAACCCTAAATCCTAAACCCTAAATCCTAAATCCTAAACCCCAAATCCTAAACCCTAAATCCTAAATCCTAAGCTTGCCCAAAAAAGGTAGGACATCCAGGGTCCAGGTAAACCCTAAACCCTTCGAGTGGAGGAATGGCGCGAACTGTTGATCCCCACTTCAACATTCTGGAGAAGGCTCGGTTTAGGGTTTAGGGTTTAGGGTGCAGTTTGGGGCTTCAAAGGCACTGTATTGGGAACCCCAAATTGGGAGCCTGATAGGTATCTTCCTATTATATTCCTACTATATTCTTGGGGTTCCCTGTTTGGGGTTCCCATGAAAGTCCCCTTACCCTACAGGGCATGTAGCACTGGCTGTTGACACTGTGATGCCAAACTGAAGATTTCTGTATTCGACATGCTCAACGTTGAAGCTCCAACCTTTCCCGTCCTTCTGCGTTATTAATTATGGGGTTAGGGTGTAGGGCTTCGGGTTCGGGGCTTGAGGCTTAGGGTTTATGCTTTAGGGCTTCGGGGTGTTCAGGGACGGGCAAATCCAGTCTGACGGGCTGGTCTAGATGAGCTATATCCAGGGGTTCTGCTAACAAAACTACCCCAAAAGGGGAGGCCATGAAAGCAACTGTCCTTTTAAAGGACCCTATGTCGGATTTTTATGGGGGGCGGGTAATATAGAGCCCTAGATTCTCCCTCCAGAAACAGTATGGGTCGTTATCAAGCAAAGCCGGCGGCAGCAGATTGCCACCAGATGCATCTTCCTACCGCTACTAGACAGGTACCCTAGGTATTAGGTGCCGTTTTATAATAGGGTACCCACAAAGGGACCATAATTTTGACAACCATCCACATGTTGGAAACATGCTCGAGGCTGCTACACGCTGACAATACTTTCCAGTCGCAGCAAAACAATGACCCGGGTGTGACCGTAAACAAAATATCGAGCAGAAGAGTGTAACGCCTGCACGGTTTTTGCAAAGCACTGTGATCATTGTCGCAGTGATCGCCACGTATCCTTCATTCCCCATGGCAGCAACGCTTTCGTGAAAGGATCTTTGAATGCGCTAGTTTTGCGAAGAATGCACCGCTTCAGGTCTACCCCTTCGCGCTCAACACGCTCTTGCCGGCAGGCTGCAAGAATTTGATGTACGGTGAGCGATTCGATCCTGATCGTTAGGGTTGCGGGGCTCGATGGGGCTCGGGTGTGTGTTCAGGGCTAGCGGAGACCAGTGTGCCCAACACCTAGAGTCCTAAAGAGAAGCTGGAAGCGCACATCACAACACCCACGAACGCATGATCATCATGCTCATTTGGCAGCAGTTGAAGCTGTCCCACCGCCTTGAAGACAGGCCTCCGTCCCTCCGATCTCTGATTAAAACGCTCATGATCAAGTAGTATTTCGGGATTCTTCCGCGAGCGCAATGCTTACATCGCACCGAAAATCCCCAACCATAAGCTCGACCCCCCTGACCCAAAACGCTGAACTTCAAGGCCTCTACTTTGGAAGACCTTATGTAACTCCTTCAAAACAGTGACAGACGGGAGTTGCAAATATGAGACTCTAATTCTGAATCAGCTCTTGACGTCAACAGTTGCACGACTTCTGCTTCTACCAACTAAATGCATAGGTGGTTCAGGGGTATGGGTTTTCTAGCTGTGGGGCGTTGTGTTGCAGGGGTCCTCGACATGTACTCCAATTGTTGGCCGCGTCTGGGTATTTCAGTTTGGGGCGCTGTCTCATCTATTTTGATCGTTGGCAAGCACGGCAAGTCTTTATGAGGATATGGGAGTCAGTCAAGTTTGGACTTGCTCAAATAAGCAGCCAGTATGTAGTTCCCAACAGAAGCCCCTTGTAATCCCTACGTAGGCCTCAGGTCCTTCATACTACCCGTATTTGAGTAGTATTTTATTTGGGGAGACTATGGAACCCAAAATAGAGTAAGACTATATCCTCCTTTTGGGGTATAGTATTTTATATAAGGAATATAATCTTACTGGGTTCAACCACCAAAAAACAGTACTCATTTGGGGAAGACCACAAATCGGGTAGGTGACCGCGGAATTTAGGATCATAGAGTGTGGCCCTTCCTAGGGATGATTTAATTAGGGTTTAGGGGTTTAGGGTTTAGGGTTTAGGATTTAGGGTTTAGGGTTTAGGGCTCCTTCTTTTGAAAGGGTGGGCAACATGAAAAGTCTGTGGGGGCCAGGGACCAGGGTTTGCTCAATCCAACTGTTTCTGTTGCTGGTCGGTGTGGAGTAAGGCAGATGTTGCCATAGGGCGTTCTGCCACAAAGCTTATTCAGACCCCTCGACTGTTTTAGATTTGAAGCGGACATGCTATCCAAGCATGAGGGTCTGAGAAGTTGACAATGGGAAATGGCTGGATACCTGCTTCAAGCCAATTTTATGCTGCCAGAAGCAAAGCGCCTTCTCAGGTCGAACCCGTCGGATTCGCCCGTCTTGCGTCAGACCTTGCTCCTGCCCCAGGGTTGTCGCATTGGGTTTCAGCTTCGACCTATTCAGCTTATCGTCCCCTTAAGTAGATGGGATATGGCTTTGGGAATATTACAATAAAATCCCCATATACCCCATATTCTAGTAAGGGGGACTATACTTGGTCTTGAGTCTGATGAGCCCACACAACCCCATCAGCTACAGATTTGTGCCTTGCCAGCCAGTCCGCTGTGGGTTTTAGGCCAACGCTGTACATCACGAACCATGTGTGAGGTGTGCCGTGCATTTATTGCAGCAATAGTAATTATGAAAGATTATGCGTCCTTTAAAAGAACAGGGACCATGGCAACAATAAAGTGGTCTAAAAGAAGAGGAAGCCTTGTGGTTCTGCGTCTCTGCGGTTTATATTGGAGGCCGCGAGCTCCCGTTGTAGAATTCGTTGCGATGCTTGCATTCAGCTTACGATCCACTTCTCGTTTCAGCCTTCGTGCAGCGCCTTGTTTCTTGATCATTCTGCATTTTTACTATTTAAGGGCTAGCATCTTGATTTTTCAACTTATCAAGGCTGTCTATTCATCTCGCATAACCCCAAGTATGACTCAGCTTCCCAAAATTTGCATCATCCAGACTTTACCCAGGCCCGGGCGTTCCTTGCTGATTCCAGCTGATTCAAGTCCTCTGCCACCAAAGGCATCGGAGACATCGAAAAGCAACAAACTTCCCAGTTCTTAGCCGGGAGTAAGAGAATATATTAGCTACGGGTTATAATGTTGACCCATGATTAATAAACCCCCTCGTTCGAAGGGCCTTAATTGATATGAGGATCCCTACTATAATCCCTATTATGGGAGGGGGTTTATTAATCAGGGGTCTGGGTTAGTATATGGGGATTATACTCGACAGGGCTTCATACGAAGCCGATGACCTGAACCTTTGCTCCCTCAAACCTCCAAACCCCAAATCCTAACTTACTGGTTCCTAGTAGGGAATAATGTTCAGGGTTTAGGGTCTAGGGGCCTAACTTACTGGTTTTTAGTAGGTCATAAGCTGATATAATCCATACACAACCCTGTATAATATATCCCCGTATTGCATCGTATTCCCTACTAAGAACCAGTAAGCTGAACTCTAAACTCAAAACCCTAAGCTTATAAACCCTACAACCCCTGCACCTGTAGCTCTAGAAACTCACCCTAAGCCTTAAATCCTACACAACCCCAAGCCCTAAACCCCAAACCCTACACAACCCTAAGCCGTAAACCCTAAACCCCTGTCCTTGTAAATTTGAAGCCACGAAGTCCTGAGGCGCAACCTTTGCAGCGACGGCACAGGGCGGCTTTCAATGAAGCAAGCTACCTCGCAGCTTGGCTTCGCTCCGTTTAGGGTTCGGGGTTCAGGGTAGGATTTGTGCGCTAATGAAGTAACCCCGAGGATCCAAGTGCCGGAATAGGATCTTTTTTCAAAAGTGTTCGGGTGTAGTGTGTACCGCAGCCCCAAAGTACCATTGCGTGCCCGGACCTTACCCTAAACCCTAGACCCTACACAACCCTAAACCCGGCACAACCCCAAGCCCTAAAACCTTATGGCGCCTCAGCTCAGACGTCCTTTTCATGGGAATCTCCTTACCTATGCACGGAGGTATGGATCCTAACAGCAGCCACCCAATAGTTCCCCCATAGTAGGCCCCCAGTCCCAACCGTCCTTCTCTTTCTCTCTTCATAGCTACGGCCATTTGAGCCTCTACAACTAAGGTTGGTGGATTCCGCGGACGCGCAGCTGCAGTTTAGATTAGAAAACCCTTGGGTGCTCCGTACTCTTAAACGTGAGCCCATAGGGGATGGATTTGGGATGGACTGAGCCTTGGGGTAAGCTGGTGTGCACTGGTCTTAAGAGCATATAGTAAGCTGGCAATGCTCACGAGCGTCAATTACCCTCAGGCGTGCGTGGGGCTTGCATGGTTGGATCAGGACCATTGAGCGGGATTTTCACAAGAATGTTCAAGGTTCAAGGACGATGAGGACTAGCCGGCCGAATAGCCATGAACGTGCCAAGAGGAGAGATTGCCTCCATCATTTCCCAGATTTTAGGCTTCCAGTGTGAAGCATGTGAAGACATGTCCTCCAGACGCAGTAGAGCCTCTCAAGATGATCCCTAGAAAATCCTTGATTGGAGGCCCAGAATTCTCCGATAATCCCTAGGTGACCCTAAGTACCTCCTACCTTGAAATTTATTGTAGTCTATCTCATAAAGGTCATGCATGAGTCTGGGTATCAATGTCGTGCTTGGAAATCCTAAACTCTAAACATACCTAAAAATTCACAGATATCCCTAAACCCTAAACCCCAAACCTTAACCATATCTCATACATAAACCCCCTAAAAGGCCCCCTTTCTTGGGAACCGCTGGTAGTCGGTGCAAGTCCCCCAGGCTAAGCTGACCGGAAACCATCGGCGGACAGTGGTTGAGACCTGAGGTCATGGGTTCCGCTAAAATTGGGTTGAGGATTTAGGATTTAGGGTTTAGGGTTTAGGGTTTAGGGTTTAGGATTGAGGGTTTAGGATTTATGATTTAGGGTTTAGGGGTTTAGGGTCCCTACCTCCCCCCCTCTACTACCTGCCACCTACCCCTCGCGAACTAGGATTACTTAAGAATAAAGGCTAATCAAGGGTTTCGGGAACTTAAGTTGGTAGTATAGAGGGATTCTAGTGTAACCCATGGTGAAGATGAGATAGGATACATTTTTTGTCAAGCCAGACTGTTGGGTGTCAGTAGGAATGGTTAATTCAAGAGCATAGAAGCTACCACATTCTTCAGGGCTGCATGTCGGCTACCATGGAGATAGATCCCTTCCAGTAAGATGAAGGGTTGCACCTCCAACAGCCCTGAAACCAGAAACCTGAATCAGCCTGAATCCTAAACTCCGGAGATCGGGCGTCTCCGCGAACCCCAAAACCCTAAACCCTATAAGAGCCTGAAATCTACAGCAATGCGCCATCACGATCACGGAGGGCTTAGGCGGCCAAGGACGACCCATATCTCGAAGCGAGACACTGCAGAAGCCCGTGATTGCTTGAGCTCCCTGCGACAGCGGTCCCCATTCAGTACTATGCAGGCTCCTTCATCGTTCAGCAAGGCAAGCTTTAGAAAGCGAGACAGGATTTAGAGCTAAGCTCTAAGCTCTCTCAACCTTGGACATCTATGTCCAAGTGGTAGACCTGTCCTCAGATGTCACGAGGTTCAGGCTTAGGCCCAGCTTCAGCCTTCTAGCAGCAGACCAGATGAGCTATAGTCTAAAC